TCCCCCTTTCCATCTGCACAAGCCACGGAGTTCGATGGAGCGTCGATAAATCGAGGCTTCCATCGCGGATTCATTTGAATATAAATCCGACTGTCTGCGCACGCTGCAGGAGATGCTTTCCTCCGCGGGATCGGGAAAGAACGATAGAGGGACGGACGAAGGGGAGGCGAAAGGGAAAGTCCTTTTTTTCGTCCTGTTGGGCGAACCGCAAACCGACCGCGACGGTTGGTCGTGCGAGAGAAGACCCGATTTTTAGCGGTCTTATTTTTGGTGGACTCTCTCGTCGCCTTTTCGCCTCCTCTTCCCTTCGACGATTTTAATGCCCTCGCAAAGTCTACGGGTCCGGCGATTTCTTCTCGAGTCCTGACGAAAATCCTCGTTGACGATTTCGTGCGCGCACAACCGCATCCTCATTTGAAATTCCATCGGTTCCCCCGAGGATGTACGAGATCGCAGCAGCGGGATGCATCTACCTTGCATAGGATGCAGCTGCGTCGTGTAATGATCTCGTAAAATTCCGAACCGATCGTCCGCCCTTGGAAAATTTTCTCTTCTTCATTGAATAATATTAAACTGAAATGAAATGACACTCGATAAAAGTTGGAAGAATATTTGCCTACATTGAGAAAAATCGTTTGATTGTACCAACAAGACGTATATGATTGAAGGGATTTTGGTTAAATTAAACAAGAATTTCTAGTTATCATGATAAGACTCGATTTTTTTATAACTAGAACATTTAATAGATTTTACTATAAGGATTTGATTAGTATTCCTGGTTGGATCTATAAAATTTCTTGTTACATTAATTTTTTTGCTCGTCACTCTTAACTTAACTCGTATTCAATATTTGTCATGAAATATATATAAAGAACTAGTATTAACATTAAATCCAAAGTATATTTTTTTTTCTCTTACGAGCAGTAATGCCAGAAAGAAGATGCTAGCTCTCTGATTGTGGGTCTTTGAGCTGCATCCTCTTCTTGCATCACTGTTTATCAGTTTAATTTCTAACAAACTAAATTTAAAATAATTTATTCAATAATCTAGATTGAATTTATGCAATAACCTTGTTAGAATTCAGAATATTAAGTAGATTTTTGAGATTAGATGGAAAAAATTTTAGACGACTTGATGTTGGCGAGTTTAGTATTATTAACTAGAAAATTTGATAAATTTAACAGGAAAAAATTAATCAGATTCATCTGATAATTCCTACAAGAATTCTGGTTCGTCCATTTTCCAACAAACATACTGGTTGAATCTATCAAAATTCTAATTAATGCAACCAGATTTTTTTCTCAGTGCACTGTTTATCAGTTTAATTTCTAACAAACTGAATTTAAAATAATTTATTCAATAATCTTGATTGAATTTATGCAATAATCGTGTTTATTTAATTATATAAGAAAATTTGGTAAATTTAACAGGAAGAAATTAATCAGAATCATCTGGTAATTCCTACAAGAATTCTGGTTCATCCATTTTCCAATAGACATACTTTTTAAATCTACCAGAAATCTAATTAATGCCAGATCGAACCAGATTATTTTATTAGTGCACTGTTTATCAGTTTAATTTCTAACAAACTGAATTTAAAATAATTTATTCAATAATCTTGATTGAATTTATGCAATAACCTTGTTAGAATTCAGAATATTAAGTAGATTTTTGAGATTAGATGGAAAAAATTTTAGACGACTTGATGTTGGCGAGTTTAGTATTATTAACTAGAAAATTTGATAAATTTAACAGGAAAAAATTAATCAGATTCATCTGATAATTCCTACAAGAATTCTGGTTCGTCCATTTTCCAACAAACATACTGGTTGAATCTATCAAAATTCTAATTAATGCAACCAGATTTTTTTCTCAGTGCACTGTTTATCAGTTTAATTTCTAACAAACTGAATTTAAAATAATTTATTCAATAATCTTGATTGAATTTATGCAATAATCGTGTTCATTTAATTATATAAGAAAATTTGGTAAATTTAACAGGAAGAAATTAATCAGAATCATCTGGTAATTCCTACAAGAATTCTGGTTCATCCATTTTCCAATAGACATACTTTTTAAATCTACCAGAAATCTAATTAATGCCAGATCGAACCAGATTATTTTATTAGTGCACTGTTTATCAGTTTAATTTCTAACAAACTGAATTTAAAATAATTTATTCAATAATCTTGATTGAATTTATGCAATAATCGTGTTGGAATTTAGAATATTAAACAGACTTTTGAGATTAGAGATGGACAAAATTTTAGACGACTTGGTACTGGCGAGTTTAATATTATTAATCAGAAAATTTGATAAATTTAACAGGAAGAAATTAATCAGATTCATCTGGTAATTCCTACAAGAATTCTGGTTCGTCCATTTTCCAACAAACATACTGGTTGAATCTACCAGAATTCTAATTAATGCAACTAGATTTTTCTAGAAAGCAACTATTTTTTTCTCAGTGATAATTATCGTCACTTTTCAGAGGCTGACTGACTGTTAATCGGTACTGAATTGTCAAGTGAACGCTTCGGGGAGAAAACAATCGCGCTATAGAAAAAAAAAGCGACGTGTAAAAGTCTTGGGAGGAGAATAACGATCGTAATAATTTTACCGTATTAATCTCGACCGCAATTTGTACCGTGGCCGACGCGCGGCCGCTATTTAATCCCCGAGCGTGATTTTCGCCAGAAATAAAGCAAAGCATACACCGCCGTGTGTTTCACATCCGTCGATACACGGAGAACGGCGCGCATTATTCAAGAAACTTTTCTTAGACCGGCCAAGGCCGAAAGCTCGCCGCCGGAGTCGTATCGGGGAAGTCGACGAGAGGAAGGCGTGTACCGCGCGCGCACGAAAGGGCCGGGGCTTCTTCTTACGATCATAAATATCGCGCATAAATATTGCGTATAGCGCGATCTGCTCCATAAATTCGACGCCACCATTTGCCAACCAAAAAAAAAAACAGAAAAGAAAAAAGCGCGCCGTAATTAACCGCCACGTTGTTCCAATTTGCATTATTACCGTCCTTGGGTGCTTCTTCAAAGATCCTTAATTTTATCCAAACAAACTCTCCGACCGAGAAGCCGATTAACTCTTTACTCTTTCGCGTCTCCATTCGACGCCGATATTGATTCGTACAATCGGTGGGACAACAAAATTGACGCGGTACCATCGGTTTTATCGAAACGGGATGTCAGAGATACGCGGGAGAGAAATACCCGTGCGCGCGAATGTAAAATCGCAAGGGGCCCCCCGCCCGCTCCCCGCGCGTCTACGTGCGCTCACGACGGACTAACGATATTTATTATACGTCGGCAATGAATTATGGGCCGTTAAGTTCGCCGTCGTGATGGGGCCCCTTCGGCCCCGTCTCGAGAGCGAGACGCGAGCATCGCCACCGCGCCCGCGCGCCCGCAGGAAAAACGCGGGACGGGGCCCCGCGCTCACGTATACCTCGTGTATAGCCCGCGAAATGAAATATTTATTCCATTACGACACGCCAGTATTGTAATACGTTTGAACCGCGTTGCATTTTTGCGACCCCGCCTTCCGCGGGGTTATCGCGATGCGTCTCGGCCTCGCGCTCCGAGGAGAGATCCTCCGTCCGCTATAATGTTGTCATTTTCCTATGCCCGCGTCGGGTGTCTTTAACTTATACGGAATTCATTTTCAAACTTTTATTATTCCTTGTCATTATATTTTTTCACGAAAGGGAGAAAAGTACATCGAATTGCGATTTTATCGTACGTTACATTTAATCCTTTGGATGTATAGCTTTAGTAAAGATTTGCAAAAATTCAAGAAAATTGATTCGAAAATTGGTCATTTTAAATCGAGTCGTAAAGTGTACTCTCAAGATTTTTCTAAAAAATAAAAAGAAAAATTTAATTTAAAATAAAGGAAATATATGTCATAAAAAAAAGTGTACTCTCAAGATTTTTCTAAAAAATAAAAATAAAAATTTAATTTAAAATAAAGGAAATATGTCATAAAAAAATATAAAAGATTTCAAAAACCGCTTATATGTATTAATTAAATCCATCTAGATTTCTAAAATTATTTTCAAAGAATCAAAAAATCATGCGTAAAAAGAAAAAAAATGCACTGATAATTGCACAGATTCAGATCCTGAATCGCGATTTATCGTCGAATATCGAGGAGGAAGGCGATCGTCTTCGCCGAATCAGAAACCGCTGTTTCAGATACCGCTTTCACGGAGAAGATCCCTCGTCGCGGCGTTTCCTGGGTTCGCTTTGCTCGTGGGAAAGCACGCTGAGGCCGTTTAACAGTCCCCGATAACGGTAACGGCACTATATAAAGTCGTGGCGCTCCTGGGGAGAGTCGCGGGGAATCGCGAAAAATCGCGCGTTTACATCTGTAATAATGCCAAGGAAACGGGTTTAACGCATGTGGATTATTCGAGTCCTCATAGCAATTTTCGTCGAAAAACCGGCTTCGTCCTTCCTGCGACGGGTTCTTGTCGAATTACGAAAGAAATAATCCGCTGGACATTAAACATAACGCGCGTTTACTGTTACGACAGTTTACAAGATTTATGATAATTTGCGTTCAACTACTTCGTTTCAGGTATCTGGTTACATATTTTACGAGGAATTCCCAAAATTAATGACCCTACGAATTTCCTTTTGTTTCTCCTTGCTTCATTATTGACATTCTTTGCGTAAATTGAGCCAAACATTAATTTATAATTATGAGCTGGTAGTTTTGTTTCTTTAGCGACGCGGTTATTAAACATGAATAATATCTTGATATAGCTAAAGATTGATCGATGTTCGATATTTAATAACGTATTAATTAATCTTTGCGTTACACAAGACTTGCGCGATCGATCAAATGTAATCAAGAATAGCGTATTCGTATGTAAAATACTATTTTTGCTACCGATCTGAATAACACGTCAGCTGGCTGGCATTCTCAGATATCAGTCTATTAGTTCATGACGCAATGCTTAATTAATTCATGATAAATAGAAACAAGTTTCCGTCGATCACGGTGAAAACGGTGGAAGAATTCAGTCGACATCATGGAGAATCTGAGCGAAGGCGACAAAGCTGTCTTGAGCACAATCTTCGATCCGCTTCAACTTGGTCTGCCTGATTTTTCAAAAGAAGATGGTACGTGACGATACATACACATAAAGTACAATTATAACATCTACATTACAATATTCAGTATAATAAAAATTTCATAGTTTTGAATATAATAATAAATTTAATGTCGTCAATTCACATTCGCAATCAATTAAAAAATATATCTAAAAATCTCTTAAAATTTCAGATATATAATAACGCTTTATAATTTTGTCACTTCGCTGCGTTTGTCAAAATTGAAATTCTTAATGACGGCGCAAAATCATGGTTTGTCGCACTAGTTAGTCTCGATTCGAAACCGCAAGCTTGGATCGTTCGAAAAATTTGCAAGGGCTTAAAGTCCGCGGGTAACCGCACAGACTTTGTCTGGCGCAGAGGTGTGTCTCAGGTTCTCACGCGAGGCACTTAGATCGTCATGAATATGTAAAAAAACCGCGCGATGCAATAACAAGTAAATTTTCTTATTATTATACAGCTGTCAAGGTTTTGCGCGCTACGCATGTCGATGTTGTCCCTCAATTTTTTACGAACTACGCAGCAAAAAGTATATTAATATAAAAATATTTTTGTTCTCAATATTCTCGAGAAGATACGACGGATATTCTCGAGGAGAATCATCTAGAATCGCACGTGTCGGAAATCGTGAAGAAGGCGATAATCTGCGCGGAAGCGAAGAATTTCGACGAGTCGTTTCGTCTCTTTGACGAAGCTTTGAAGCAAGCACCCGCATCACCGTCAATTCTAAACGACAGAGCACAAGCGTTACGTTTGGCGAATCGAGACAAAGGTACATATTTCAAAGATATATTACGACGTAAAATAAAGTTTCATATGCATGCAAGACGAAATTCAATTATCGCATTCCGTTGTTAGAAGCTTTGAAGGACCTGCATCTGGCGGTAGAGTTGAGCCAAGGCAAAGGAAGAGCGGGCATTCAGGCGCTTTGTCAACGTGGCGCTCTTTATCGGTGGCTGGAGCAGGACGATGAGGCCAAAAAAGACTTTGTACGCGCGGCCAAGGCTGGCTCGAGCTTCGCTAAATCGCAGTTGATCGCTCTGAATCCTTATGCGGCCATGTGCAACGCGATGCTGCGCGAGATCACTTCCAAGGCCAACCGCACTTAATCTAATCCATGGGATCGCATTTCTTGAAACAATGATCATTTAATAGATAACGCTTTATTTTTTCTTTATTTCGATATAGATAAACTCACGACTGGTAGATCTATATGTATAGATCCTGATATAATGATATAATCGCAAAGTATAATCATAATAATAACAATGATATTAGAAATTTCGCATAAAAATATAAATCCATCCATCTGTATCAAACCGGGAATATATTTCTTTGTAAAATTTGGGTTTCATTTCTGCTAAAAAGGAACTCGCGCTAAATCGACAAACGACGAAGAAAACATCAAGTTCTGTGTACCCGTAAAGATTCCTTCTCTTCCAGCTAATCATTATTCTCCCCGGATTCGAAATGATTTACATCAAACGGGAGAGAAATTAGTTAACTAGGTGCGAAATTAATTAACTATGTTAACTGTCGGTAGACATGGATCGCGTTGAGAGATTGAAGACTTGGAACAATACTCATAATTTATTCAACGGAAACTGAGAGAGATATACGCTCGATAACGCAATCATACGCCTAATAATAATTCTTTCGTATTACACATATAGAATAAAATGTCTTATCACACGTTTTCTAAAGTGTAGTATTTTACAATCACACCAGTTATTGGAAATTCATTTCTCATGCAAAAATCACAAGCGGTTTTTGCTCATTCGATCTTGATCGTATGTAAATGCAACAAAGTTTGGAGAATCTGCTATGATCGGTTTTTTCAAATCCGTGCATTCATTTAGTCTGATGGTCGGATTAACGCATAGCAAGCATTTCGATTTCAACGATGATTAATGCAAAATTATACTAGCTTTTTGTTCCAGAAAACATGAAGCTATCTATTGCCCGGCCTATCCGTCTTAAACCATAACAAAATCTCGACCTGTATTAGATTTCTCACTCTCCGAGCCTTCCTCGCTGCCATCCTCTCCCTCGGCGGAATCAGACGAAACTTTCTTTTCTTCACTGGGCGAAGGTAACTCCTCGATTCGCTCATCTTCCTTAGGCGGTTCCGTCGTATTAGATATCTCTTCTCTGAAAAGAAATTAATAATAAATTAATAATGTTAGAGATATACATTTCATATACATGTCCAATTAATTATGACTCGCGAGACTTACGAATGAAGTAATGGCGCATCCTCAGAGTCAGAATCCTTTTCCTTCTTTCTTTTCTTTTTACTACTTTTCTTATCGTTATCAGATGGACCATAATATTCGTACTGAAATATTTTCGTGTTATTAATTTATATATATTATGACAATATATAATTATATTATTTATGCATTATAATATATTTATATGATTATATTACGTCAATAAACTATTAACCTGATACAATGGCCAGAAGGACGCGAAGAAGCCAACATCGGCCGTCAAGTTAGGTAGTAGCCACAGATGACATCGACCTAATGTGGGAACCCACAGAAGACAAAATACAATCATTCTGATAATAGCCAATGCTAATATGAATACGAGGAATCCCGCGGCGGCGACACTTAGGTAATATACGCCATGACGGATAGTTAATGGCCACAATGGGAAGAGACAGACCCCTATCGCACCTAAGACTACCAATGTGCCAAAAAACCAATAATACACAGGAATTGGCTCGTATATCCACACATATGCATCGTTACAATCCACAAAGTACTGATCCAAGTGCATTTCTAATCTTACCTGCAAGCAAACATTTATTATTCTTGATCGAAAAGAAAAGAGGAAAAGATTATATTTAAGCTATACGAGTAAACTTTCGTACTTTGGGTTTTTTCTTATGTTCTTTTCGTTCCTCGGCTTTCTCTTCGCTTTTCTCATCCTTTGCCGCAACCATATCTTTGTTCTCCTTCGGATCTTCCTTTTCAGGTTTCTTGTCGTCTTTAGTCTTCTTTTTAATACCCCTCATTTTATTGAGTTCCTCCTCCGAAATCACTACTTTCTTGGCTCTGTGAAAGAACTTGTGCCTCAACATCAGGTCCAAGAACTGGGAAACCTGCTCGCGATTCTCAAACACTGTGCTCCAGGGTGAATTTTCCAATAAAGCATCGATCGCGCGCGACCCAGTAAAGTACTCGACATTGTGAGCCCTATCGAACTTGGTCTTCTTCGACGGTACGTTGCTGCGTATCCACTTCGCCACCGCATACTCCTCCTTGGATGGCTTGTCTTGGGCAACCTTTGTGTCCAAACTGGCCACTTCCTGTCGCAAACAATAACATCCGTTAGATTGCCGACCCAGAAACTGGGACGAGAGGAGGACGTCGAATTCGCGATTTCCCACAATCTTTTCATCTACAGCATTCGCACGCGCTCTACGTCATCGAAATCGACGAATCGTCGTCGGCGCCGACACGTTTCAAGAGACCGCGCTACGTGTCCGCGTATGTCACCCGCGCGAGAAATGACGTTCGCGATCACCCGGCCCATATGCGATCCTTACATCTTTTCGCTTCCTGTTTTTCCTGCGCTCCGCCATGCCGCCGTGAATTTTGCGTCACGCTTGCGCGCACAGATCCGCTGCTCACGCTGCCGGCCGCCGAAGCTGCTGCGAACTGACCTCGAACAGGCATATGCGAACTGCGCGTCTCTCCGACTCCGAGCTGCTCCGTGCGAGCACCGTTCGCGGAAACGATCCTCACGAAACGCCGCTGGCGTCTACCTCGCTCCACCTCTTCTCCTTCCCTCGCTCGAGATGTTGCGAGACCTTCCTCAGACGCGACCTAACGTTTACTCGCGGATCGCGGATTCGTACACGAATAGGATGAGAAGATGAGATGGTGGTGGCGCGTCGAGAACCGGTGGCGCATCTCGAAAGCTCCTCCTCGAGTGTACGTATGTGGCAAACGTCATGTGGCAATGGGACCTTGAGGATAATTGGCGCTGATATTGTTGACAACTGTATGAGCGCGTAAATCATTATTTTCGCTGTTACTCACTTTTATTCACTCGCTTTATTATCTCATCCTTTTTCCTATTATACTTTCTTATTTACTATTTGATATTCCATACTCTACATTTGCAGCAACTGGTATCCTATCGTGAACAATTTCTTTTGTGTTTTCTATCAAAATTCCTCATTTTTTTATTATATTCTTAAACATTTTTTATTGATTAATTTTATTTTATTTATAATTTTTATATATATTATTTATATTTTATATATATTATTATTTTTATTATTATATATTTATATTTTTATTAAATTTGCGTACAAGAGTTGCTATTACAAAACTTGACAGCAAATTGGCGGCAAAAAGGGAGCAAAGCTTGCTCTAATATGTTTGACATCAAATTGTCGGCAAAAATAAAGCAAGATCTAACGGCAAATTGACGACAAATTGTAAGCAAACTTTGCTGACATAATCTGACAGCAAATTGTCAGCAAAAACCGACCAAGATCTGCGCAGGGAGTTTAATGTTAAATTTAAATGCTTTCGGAATGTCAAGGTTTGCTCACAAATTTGCTGACAATTTGTCTTCAATATTGTCAACAAGTTTTGCTCGGATTTTGCTACCAATTTGCTACAAAGTTGATGCCAATTTGCTGCCAAGTTTTGATCAATTTGTCGTCAATTTGCTGGCAATTTGCGCGCAAATTGTTTATTGGGTACATGGTACATCCCATACAGCATAGAATATTGCAGCAATATTATTAATATTGATGTAACATTGCAATAACATTGCAATATTGCTGCAATTTTCTGTGCTGTGTGAGATATATTAATATTATTTTCATCAACCTAAAAACAAGTTATTAATATTCATTAAAATTTAAGACAAGAAAAAGAGCGATGTTGACATATTTATTCCTATATTAATTGGATCAAACATTAATTTGTGCTCTAATTTTTTCACCATCAGCTCCGTAATTTGCATCCAAATTGAATTCCGTTCCATCGTGGCTAAATATGGCGGAGCCAATCACGGGGCTCGATCGACTAGTAACTTGGTGATTTTTACCAGCTGCAGAGGCGCTTCGTGCCTCCTGTGCTCGCTGTCCCATCTTACGCTTATGTAATCCTCGTCAGAGACGGTCGCGCTTTTGTCTTGTCAGTGTGGCTGATGTCGGTGAACATCTCGTGCGTGTCCATTCCGAGTAAACAAAGCGCGTAGTAGGCGCGTGTATCTCGCCGGGTTTATGTACAACACGAACATGCGCGAGTGCGAGGAGTTTACGAGGAGTTTCCCACCGGGTCAGCCGGTCCAGGCCCCGCTGCCGCCGCCGCGAGCTCCGGGTCTGGACGCTCTGTACAGCCTCTGCCGACAGATCTATCCGGAGCAGATTAATCCCTTAACGGTCACGGCAATCGTCAAATATTGGTAAGCAAGCAACGACGACGCCACGCGAAAAACTAGTCCAGAGTCCCTCCCTCCTGGTCTGTAAAAAAAAAAATTGTATTTTTTTGTAAAGCGCCCCGACACCTGTAGCGACTGATGAACTGGTGTCCCTGCCAGGTAGTCGTAAACGATCGATGACTTTGTATGTACGTGTCATGCCTTGTCGAAATTGATTTTTCTCAGCGATTACTCAATTTAATCTCTCTCACAATCTTCACTTGTAAATATTATTTTTTTCAAAATTATTTTTAATTAATTTATTTTCATTGATTTTCATCTTGTTTTATTTAATTCTTATACATGTTTTTGGCTTTGTTATTGTGTACGTTAATGTTATTTTTCTGATTGCTCGATGATATATTCATATTTGCCGCGAATTTTATTTAATCAATTTTTATCAAGTTTTAATGTTGAAATCGATATAGACAAAAGTATGAGATACGCCTCTTGACAAAGTGCTCGTAGAAACTCGTTTTTTCCATTCCTCCCTCGCGAGAAACATCGATTACATGGACTATATTTAGCCCCCTCTTTTACCGGATATCCTGTGTCAGCTGATTCGAATTTTCTATGTATTTTTCCCTTTAGGCTAGGCGGGCCTGATGCTCTCGACTACATTAGCATGTACGCAAATCCAGGATGTTCCGAGCTCGGAGTACCTCCTCATTGGCACTATGTCAGGTAAAAGGATCATCACGTCTGTCAAATTATTTACATAATCCCATGAAAACCATGAAATTAGTCTCAAACTCGAAAAGTTGAAGCTATTTATTATTCTAATGTTATTCAAAGTTGAGTCAACTTAAGAGGTCGTTCATATTTTTTCAAGATCAAATATATTATTTAAAATGTTTATTAAATAAAGTTTAAGATCCGCGTATATTCGTTTTAATTTAATTGGAATGCAAACTTTCTTTGTGACAGATCTATGAATTACACAGAGAAAAATATCATTCTACTGTCAAGAAAAGCGATTATTTAGTTTATTTTTCTTTTTTAAGTAATACTTTTCTTCAGCAAAGAATATATTCTTCATAATAATCTTCAAATATACTCATCACAAGTGTTAGAAAATCTCATTATCATGTACTCAAAAGAGGAATTTATTTTCTCTTCAAGAATGTTGTAAAGTTGTATCAAAGAAAAATCAAACTTACTTTACGTCAACTCTTGTAGTAAGCAAACCAAATTTTTGTTTTAATTTAATATTCTTGACTAAAATCCTGCACTTACTAAAATTCAGAATATATTCAATTAAATTTAATGCTTGTGATGAACTTATGATATATTTGCGGATATACAAACTTACGATATACTTAAAATAAATAATATTTACTTGAATACAGTATACATTTTTCTCTATGTACGCAGGCGATATATTTCTCTCGGACATTTTATTGGAATCTGTGTACCGAATGACGAATGACCTTCCGCCAAAGAGTGCCGACTCTTTTTTTTCTCTCTCTGCACCGGGACGACCCTTGCTTCTTCAGTTTCAAACAGCTGTCCCAATACTGCTCCGCGTTTCTCTCTCTCTCTCTCCCTCCCTCTTTCAGAGAGAGGGAGAGAGAGAAAGAGGAATGAGGGACGGAGCTTGTAGGGCGCAGGAGGAACAAAGTCGTTTAAAGCACGGGAGTCGGAAATAGAAGCGCCGGACTTTCCCTTTTTCGTCTGCGCCGTCTAATTATACATCGCCATTGACCGAATGTCTACGTACTTTTTGCGGGATACAGCTGAGAGCCGCCCTTGCTTTTTCTCCCTCGTGCCACCCGTATTACTTCTGAAATCATCGCTATTTAACTTAACGTAATTTTTTCCTCTTTCTGAATGAAATTCAGAGATTATATTTGACACGACTTCTCTCTCTTTGAACATAGGATATTTACCTTTTTATCGTTCTCGCATCCCATGTTCTTCTTTGTATGTAAATACAGCTTAGGATTGTCCGATCTACACGGCGATGGTCGGTTGCATCCCAAACGTGGCCCAGGTCGTCCCAGCGGATTCGGATTCGAGTTAACTTTCCGGCTCGTCCGCGAAAGGGGCGAGATGACGCCGCCCACATGGCCGGCGAATGTGATGCAGCAATTGGCCAAATATGTTTTCAATTCCGGGAACACGCTGATGCCGGGTGACCACGTTTCTTGGCACGCTCCGTTGGACGGCGGAAACGGCCGTATCACTCAGATCTTGATGGGACAGGACTCGCAACTACCAACGATTTCGACACCCCACGGTGACGTACGTACAAAAAGCCTGAATTAGCATACTCGTAAGTAGGGCGATTTTCAGTTTCTCTAAAATAGAAACATTGCATATCCGAGAAGCAAAATCCGTGATCCGATTATCATTAAGTTGCACGGAATAATGTTTTAGGTATTAAAGATAAGATTCTCTTATTGTTGTAGGTTTCATTTGTTCAAATAGTCGGCGTCACTTCCGAGGAATTGCAGGCGGCTCAACATTGGAACGGCCCAGGTGTCGTCAATTTGTTAAAAAGCGCCCGGGATTGCGGTCCATGGTTACTCACGAATATGAGAAGATTACATTCCGCTATGGAGGATGATCCTTCCATAGCGGAGAAAATACAGTGCGGCATCGAGAGAGACGGATCAAACACGAGCGGTGTGTCCGCTAAATGTTGGTGAGTTTAACAACGACTGATAGGATTGGGAAACAGTTTGAGAATTTCGATTTTAATTTATTGGAATTAAAAGTTGTGTATTTATGCAGGTGGGTACAAATAACAAATGATAAAAGCGCAGAGAGATATAGGGAGAGAAGAAACGATTCCGATGACGACGAGGAGGAGGACGTGAAACCGATTGTAAAAACGGAAAGGCTTTCGCCATGCGAGCAGCAAGACGCCAATGTCTCCAACGAGAATTGTATTAGAGTTCTGTCCGGATTACACCTAACGTTCAACCTCGAAGCTGGCTCGTTACTGCCGCTAGCGATAAAGTTAGTCATAACAGAGCAGAGTTCGCCTCGACGGCAACGTTCGATGAATAATGCATAATTTTCATTACAGAGGCCGTGTGATGCACGGGAGGCACTTTACGTTTAAATCTATACTTTCTCATACGGCTATCACGATAGTCGCGCCATCAGTCACAGGTACCTTCGTGTCCAAGGACAGACCATACGTCGTTCAAGGTCCATGGCTGCAAGTGCTTCTCTCAGAAGAGCTATCCGAAAGGATGGCCGAAGAATTTCAAATTTTAAACACACCTGATAAGGTAATAACAAGCAAAATTGCACATGATGACATGTGGCGTATCCTGATCCGGAAAATAGGCGTACCTTGATCCCAAAATAACTTCTGACTCTAATTTGATGCCAATATTTATCGATATATATCTTATTACAGATTCAATTGCCAAAGACGTTTTCTTGGCCGGAACATAATTTAGTTATCACCATCATCAACGATTAAAGCTGTGCGTCAGTGCGATTTATACATCACCTTTCATATCGTTTCATGCATATTTAAGTTAAAGACAACGCAATAAAAGTATTGTCGAACGCAATCTTGTTGCAGATCGAATCTTCTATTTATAACGACGATATTTTCCATGACTAGCTAGCATAAGATCTTGTAATTTATATGCCTTTTTTATATGTTTAAGAAAATCGATTGTTGTTCATCAACGTGTAAAAGCAGAGATTTGCGCGCGCGCAAGATATAATTTTTATAGTACAGAATTTTGTATTTTTCTACATAAGTTTCAACATCTCTCTTTTACAAGTTGATGCTTACATACATGTAAAAAAATGTTTACAACACTTGTCAAGTTGTTTAAACTTGATAATATTATATTATTTCACTACAGAACAACATGTAATAAGTGTTGTGAAATTTTTTTGCACGCACATATTTATAATAATGTATATATGATAAAATATAAATTATGTGCTATATTTTACAGCAAAGTTATATTTGATATACATGTCTTACACGTTGTTACGGACAATAAATGTTTATGTAAATACTTCGTAAAAATACCTCAAAACATACTTGAGAAAACTCTTAATTATCTTCTTTTACTGATCGATCGTCTGTTATTTCGTTGCCTTATCCTTCTGCCTGTCTTTCTTTCAGGAGGACATGCATCCTGCCCGTGACTCCTTATCGGCGGGTTATTGTTATTGCTAATCTGCGTCACGCTTCGTCCAAACACATTGAACAACTTGGTGTGGGGATTCTGAAATGTCGATATGACATTGAAATCAGTCTTATATGTCAACGTTCGAGTCACGAGACGTTAAGTACGAAGAATCATCGTCTCAATATATGAAATCATCGCGGTTTAAATCTCTTGACGTTTGAAGTAACCGAGTGCAAGTGTTATTTTACATACGATAGAATGGTCGCAGCGACACGATTATTCTATCTATATTCTAGTGATCTTCACGACGAATTATTTTCATTGGGTGAGTTTTGCATTTATATATAGTTTAAATAATCAACAAGAACGTTAAATCGTTTGCGACATTATTAAACAATTAAAAATTTTAATCAAACGTGACTCTCGTCGGATCAAAAACCAGATAAAGACGCAGACATGCGATTATGTGGATTTCAGGATATTTTAATTCACATAAAAATCAAGAAGGAATATTTTACGAAATAGTTTACCTGGTTTTTGCACCGCAATCTTCCACGTCACGTGACAATATTCCTCGCGAGAAACGCGCACGAATGGCTTAAAGATCCTGTGCTTCGTCGTACCTGACGATTCTAAAAAAGTAGTATCGTATTTGCCAAATGTCGTGCAAAAATAATGGAATGATCTGTCAAAACCGGATACCTGAGTAAGATTCTGTTTGCATTTAGAAAATACATAGGATTGTTATATATATATATTGGTTCCAATTGTTGAATAAAATATTTATTTTCGAGAATGATTATCTCGAATGTTTTTTTATACACTTTTATAAAATTCAAGGCCGATAAGCACAATTGTTTACTAATTCGTGAGCGACGGTTATCGGCGAGTTCTATCTATATTATTGACAGTAATAGTTATCGCGCGATACATGTGCTGTATACCCGCTTTAGAAGATCCGTAAACATCTTGACGGCTCCGATACATAAGACGACGACGATGCAGGCAGAGGCAAAGTCCTCGACATCGTTGCGACTGATGCTGCTAATGATGTTAACGATCCCACGGAAAACATTGGCAAATGTCTGCATCGCGTCGATGCATAAATCCCTCAGAAAGCAGATTACCTGAAAAATCTAATTTCTTGCCAACGGTTGTTCTCCGCGAAATTTTTTTCGAAAAGTTTATACCTCATTCATTTCATAATCATATTCGAAGTGAGTGGAAAAATGCGTTTTTAATTTTAATTACAAATTTCCTCGTTAGTTTTAATTTTGACTAGATAATTCGAAAACTGTCCTCCCCTCCGAGGATCTTATTTATTTATTTATTAAAATATTATTGTACATTTTAAACGTAAGCAAAATCCGTCACCTGAAATGTTATATTTATTATCACGAGTATTAGCTCAATTAGCCTCGCCAAGCAGTCGAGTACGATGATCAGGATTTGTTCGACGGTTTCCCAGAGCCAACAGAAGACTCGCCAGAAGGAATTCACAAATTGATCGGAGGCACTGGTTATCCAATTTTTCATGGTCGATCCTTATAATTAAAATTTACACCTTGTCGTAAAAATTTCGCGAACCGAATGTAAAGCATGTCGATTATCCAAAATTGAGGAAAAGAATCGATTAATTTCGACAAACGAAAAACGACAAAGATTTTCGTTAGCTGAAATTGCTCGCGTATTATTTACGTTCGCGACGAGGAAAAAGAAAAATGGAGAAAACAGAATATCCGTGTATGTGTTTAACAATTTAAAATATGCTTTATTGATATCAAGCTGTAATCGCAAAGCTAGTGATGGCTAGAATAAATGATGTGAATTACTGTTTAACGATAACAATATATCATATCTTAGCTTAATCGTAATCTGGCAGTATTCACTATATAGTCTGTTTTGTGTGTCCTAAGACTTAATGAAAGATCATCATAATTAATTATGGTCGTACATTGGTATAATCACTACAACATGCTGTACATTGTAATTTCTTGGAGCTGCTGTTCAATTTTTCTTATTTTTCTTATTCCGTCCGGATTGTTTCGTTCTTCGAGTGATGATTTTTCATTTTCGCAAACTTTTTCTCATTTAAATTACACAAATCCGAGAATCGGCAATATTAAGACAATCAGCGATGCGAAATTCCTCGACGACGCATTGCACGCGTCTGCGTCGCTGCAAGATTGCACGCACCCGCGAACGTACCTACGAAAAGCACGTACATCGACATTTAAAAAGAAAAATTTCGATCAGGCAATTTTTTAATTTTTAGTTTGTATCGAGCTGCTAGAAGTCTTACTTGTTGTCAAAGTAAAAACCACCGCAGTGGGACATTCTGATAATCTCGGAGTCCGTCGTCAAAGTTCCGCTGTCTAACGCGCAGCTTCTCACCATGAGAGATACACCGGATTCATCTGATACATTTATCGGATAATCGATTAAGATACAAGATTTCACGTATTTTTGGGTGCGAGGCTCATTCACTGAGTCTTGATCAATTATAAATATATGAAACGAAGTATTTCGCTTGTTATTACCGTATATGCCGGCAATCTTGATGCAGGCTGTGGCTGGAAAGAGGCCATCCCGGCCTTTTCGACCCCCCAGGCAGGGAGATTCTAAGAAAGCGAGGCTACCATTGTTGTGAAATGGGTCATCGCACGGTTTGTTATCACCATCGATCGAGACGCACTTGAAACAGTCGATGGCCCACCCTGCGAATGAGAGAAGTCGCGCTCGCTCTTCATCATGGGACGGAATCAGAAAAAAACGCGATAAATAAAATTGCCTAACATCTTTAGCAAATTTCTCGATTCGAGACACTATGTCATTCTACTTGGCTTGCGTTAGAAAAGTAAAGGAGTAAAAGCGTCAAGGATTTTTACGTCGTCTCCCGGCATCGCAAAAAAGATCTCGCAGCGATCGACAAGGTGTTTGAGAGCTCGAGCGGCGCCAGAGAGTTGCTATTTTTACACAAAAACGCGTGAACTATGCACGGCTCGTTCTCGCAGCTCAGCAGTTATTGATTTTACTCGCGCGAGATTCGCAGATACCTAGATAACACCTTAGCGAACGCAAATATATAATTGTTACATAACATATAACTAACGAGTGCGTTGCATGTAATTTGCATGTTAATTGCAATTTGTCATGTGATAATTATATAGCATGGTGACTCATCGATATCATAAAATTAAGCAAACACCCTTGACATTCTAAGACGCCAATGCATGTTATATTAATAATATTACATCTCTAAGTGAGAAATTATAACTAAAACACAAATTATATAACACACATGTTAGTTACATGTTGTGTTTTGGAATCATAGTTTTTTTCAATCTTCGCATTCGATAATCTTGATCTGATCTAGTCTGGATATCAAGAGAGACCGCATTTATTTTCGGAGTATAATTAATCTACCGACCTCTTTGGAAGAAGGCGAGGATGGTCAGCACGAGGCAAACGATCCAAGGATTCCCTAGGCTCATGCTTCGATCTAAGGCACTTGTTCCCGATAGAATCGCACTTGCGTTGTCGTCAGCTTTTACATTCCGGATGATACCGAACAGATACCACGCCGGCGATCATCTCAGTCGCGGATACGACGTTCTCCGACTTCGCCTATCGAGCGTCGCGATCGTCGGGGGGTAAGACAATCCATAGAGGACGTCGATGATCGTCTGGAGACCAGGCCTTCCCGATGACGCTCGTCGACGTAGTGTTTTGACGGCCGGTTACCAAGGTGACCCACCGGCTCGACGACCACGTACAGGCCCCAATCTCTTGCCTACGCAAAGATTTAAGGTGATCGATGACTTTGGACGACCTGACCGCTGAGGCGAACAATCAATAAGTCTTCATCCTTCGCCGTACAGCGATCGTACGAGGATAAAACCGCGAAACCGAGTTGGCCGCGAGCTTTATACGCGATTCTCTGAACGCTAGTCGCGTGATCCGGCATCGGGACACGCACGTGCGGACACGCGAATAGTGGGTGTAGTTAAGATTTATAACGGATGCGAGATCCGAAAATTATACTTGTGAGTGTACACTCGAACAGTCTTACGATTGTAACATGTGAGATCTTTTTTTCTGGTGTCTTCAAGATGTTCAGAGAGTATGAAGCCGTAGGTGGCATCGAATGCTTCCATTCTCCTTGGTAAGATCAATAATAAAATTAGATTTATGATAAGAATGCAGAAATTCTTGTTAGAATTAAGTTGTTTTATCAAACATGGTGCTAATTCATATATGTGATTAAACATTGGATGCATCGTTAAAAGTAGGAGATTATCTCTTCGCAAATTTTTATAAAGTAAATTAAATGTTATTGAAAAATTTAAATTAGTAAATATATTTATTGAACATAGACAAATCAAATACTAAGAAATATTTAAAGTCTACAAGATAAATATCAGAATAGATATCAACTTATAAAATGTATTAAAGAAATTATAAGCGTTTATCTATTTAGGAGCATTTTGCATTTGAATGATCTCTTGATTGCCTCAATTTGCATTTTTCAAAAAAAACCAATAGTAGATAATTAGCAACACAATTCAAGATAATATAATAATTTTCTGAGTAAAATCTAGTCTACTCTAACAATATGGAAAATTGATGATTTTTCTTGAAGAATATTAAAAATTAATCTCTTTTTTTGCATATATTTTTATTGATGTTTAAATAATACTGACGTACACTCTGTTTAAATTTTTAAATCTTGGATATTTAATTTTTATTCAATACGAATCTGCGAATAGCGTGTTCAATTTCGTGGAAAACCCTGACAAAAATAATAAATTGTCATTTACAAATTAGACATTTCAATTTTGCTGATTTTTTTTTCATTTTTTGAAGAGAAATATATAAAAATATTAATATACAAAAAATATATTAAATATATTAATATATAAATATATATTAATTTGTTTATTACATTAAATTAAATTTCTTAAATTAAATTTCAATTAAATTTAGTATCCCAAAAATATTTTACGGAATTTAAAATTTTAATTTTAGATCGAATCTTTTCATCTAAAACTAATTAAACGACGAGCAGCATGTCATAAATCGAATTATGCATTTTTAACACAATATTAAATCAATAAAAACATATGTGAAACGTCAAAAGAATTAATTTCTAATTTTCTTCAAAAAGAAAAATTCCTAAAAATCATCAATCTTGCATACACCGAAAAAATTGTATTTTTCATTTAAGAAGAATTCCCCTCTAAAGTTTTCCTCTAATCAAACATTCTAAAAAATTCAGAATATTCTTTAAAAAAGTCTCTTATTAAACTAACTTAGGTCTTTTATTAAAAACAAAAAATATATTCTAAAACATATTGGAGGAAAATCTCTTCTCATCTTTCAAATATATATTCGACGCATGTTTAGTGGGAGATGTTCTGCAATTTACTAAACTATAATGCGGAATGTAACGTTTCCGGTGTACTTATTAGAACACCCTGGACTCCCACGGAACCTCGCCACGTGTCAGGGTGCCCCGCGGATGCTGCTCGCGTTTTTCCGCGGGCAGCATCGCGCGACGCCGCGGCGCACCCGCATCACCGAGGGAGAATCAATTTCCGCGCTGCGGCACGTTCAAAGCGACGCGCAAAATCGGCGCCTTCGCCGCCGGGCCAATCACGTCGCGGCGCTCGCGCCGACAAAGCGTAGCGTGTGCGGTCGTCGTCCGTCCCGCGGCATCCCAGCGACACTGCGGATGCAAGATGCACTGCCTGCGTGACTGACGGTGATGTCCGTCGCCGCCGCCGCCGCCAACGTCGTCCGAAAAATGTGCCCGTTTCACGCGCGCCCATGCGTCCGGTTTTTCACGTGAGCCCGCCGAGCCCGTCTGGCAACATCGTTCGACAAACACCCGACACCATTACCTATCACTGCCACCGCCGCCGCCGTTGCCGGGCCGACAACGACGACGATGGGTCAATCGTCGAGCAACACCGGACACAGCGGTGAGTCTTGAGTCTTCCCCCCCCGCCCCTCGCGTGGCCGGCTCGATCGTTTTTATCGCACGCGAGCGCGCGCGCGCGCGCGCTCGCTCGCGTGGCCGTGACATGTGTCAACCGCGACGCGGACCGTCGTCGCCGAGATTCAGCGACGACGATCACCTGGCCTCGCCCCCTCCCCTCGTAAGAAATCCTCCTCCGGGGAGATTAGGTTAGGTTAGGTTAAGTCGCGGTGGGATTTCATTCATATCCTGTCGGCTCTTGACACGTCGAGATGAAGTCTCCTTTTTTCTCTCGACAGCTAGATTTATTCGAGATAACGATGATAATCGATCGTGAGGATCATGCCTCTTTTGCGTTTTTTTTTATCTAGATTCTGTCGCAGACTAACTTACGCATGTTGTTTCTCGAGATACGCTCTCCTAGGTTTTGATATTAGGTCGATTGCATCACGATTACACGTGGCCAATTTAAATGCTCCCTCGAGGAATATCGTATCAATTGACGATGTCAATGCGTGGCTCTAGCAATTGCGAAAGCATATATGAAAGATGACAAATACATATTAAAAGGGAAATTAAATAAATTATTTAAGAAATAAATAAATTAAAGAATAAAAGGAGGAGATAAATATTCGACAATGTTAATATATTCTCTTGAATTTTTTTCATTTTAAAAAATTATCCTTAATCATTCTTATATTAAATATTTAATATGAATCTAGAGAAAATGTTTAATATGTATCTAGAGAACTGTATTTTTTTAACGCACATTTAAATGCACTATTCATTTAAATGCGCTGTTATCGACCTGTCTTTTACTACCACCTGTCTTTGAGCGACATCTGCTTTCAGCTACATCCTGCTCCATTGGTAATACAATGTGTGCGATATCTTTCTGAGCTCTCTCTTTCGAAATATAATTAATTAAATGTAGTCTCAATTAATTGAAATTTTATTCATGCAGTCAGTTAAAATTTTATTACAGGAAATATGCAGGAGTTTTCAATTGGAATTCAAAAGTTGCATTATATAATTTCTTATATAATTCAGTCGAATCGATATAAAATAATATACATCGATAAAATAATACTTTATTAGAAAGCTAAGAGAGACTATCAAATTTTATGGCGAAAATTGTCGACGATTGTATCGATTTTTTTTACAATTAACGCATATTTTTTTCATGGAAATACAATCTATTTGGATGAAAATTTATACACGTTATCGCATGTGTATAAATGAAACGTCAAGTCGATCCATCTGGATCATTTGGATCGATGCTCGCGACATTCGCGTTACGTTTACACGACGCGGAGCATGCGATATTTTGCCAGCTGCATTTTTCGGGGCGCGTCTCTCGATTCCGGCGCACCTTTCGATTCCGTTTCGTTAAGGTTGGGTTTCGAGGCTTGCAAGATGCTCTCTCCCGCACCCCTGTCGTAGGTACGTCTACCTATCGCAGGATCCCGCACCTCTTTGCATCGCTCGGTCGCATGGGCCACAGATGGTATTGTCATATGGCAGACACACGGGGCCAGGCCTCGGAGGCGGCAAAACCGCGATTGCACATCCGCACAAATCCACGACAGACCCGACGCGGGCCTCGCTTCCCAATTATCTAATCGACGTCACGCGAGCGGTTTCAATCGAGCAACATTCATAAATACATTTTTTTTTTATTATCATTATAACATTGACATGTTTGTTAAATCATCTCTCGAAAGTTGAGGTAGCAACTGAATTTGAAATGCGAGATAAAAAAAGGGACAAGTGAAAACTTGACGATGCGAAAATATTTTTTGCAGTAGTAAAAGGCATCGATTTTATGTTGCTGGCGAGAAAAGATCATTGTCCTTAAATTAGCGTGTAATCTATAATCTTCGGAAATGCGATAATATAAAGAAATAACGGAACTGTCATTAAGCTCTCGCGAAAAAAGGTAGGCGCGCGTTCGGGATTCATAGACGACACTTCCGGGGAAGGGGATTAACGAAGAAGGAGAATCGTAGACGGTGTGTGATGGCTGGGGTTCAGGGCAGCGACCCAATTCTCATATGTATTTATACCAGGAAGACGCTACGCCGGCTGCGCGTGGCCATTTTGGAGATCCGAAGAGAGAAAGAGAGATAACACGACGGTAGAAAGCGAGAGGAAGAGAGAGAGAGAGAGAGAAAAAAGGCGTCTCTGTGCGTCACGAGACGCACTCCGACGCGAGTCTAATGACTCTGGAAATTCAATTCCGGTTGCAACCCACGACACCATCGTGTAGCTGCACTTTAAGATAATTTCGTTACCGCGAAGATCAATCGGAGTCTGAGAGGCATGTGACTGCAAGATTGAGAAGGCGGAATTTCAAGAATATTTCTTTGTCTCGAGAATATTTCAATAATTATGGGATTAATTATTTAATTAATGTATATTCACACACACCCGATCGTAAATTGCACTTGGTCAATGGTTGCGACGCTCACAAAGAAGAACCGGGATCTATAAATCTTGCACAGAAAAAAAGGACATTCCTGTTTTGAAAATATTTTTAGTTTTAACATGGAAATCTTGAAATGAGATATTACGTTAATTAAAGAAAAATATAATTGCTTGAATAATTGCTTACTTGAATGAAGCCATTTTATATAATTCAACCGAGAAGAATATATTCTTATGATTTAAGGTTTAATTTTCTTGAATAGAAAAGAAACACTGTTGGATAGAAAATAACATTTTTAAATCAAAGATTATAATTTTCTTAAAGTAGAATTAAATAATTATAT